GGTGAGTGTTACACTTAAGCCAACACATAGGGTGGTGATGGTTCAAGGTCGTCGATACTAGCTGTGACCTGCACTATATTGTAAATGCAATAGGCTCCCGTGTTAATGGACCCTGGCACTCTACTAATTGGCTTTAGTCTTACTAAGTCCCTAACCTATTGACACTGATGTTCATTACGACTAGATCCATTATGGAATTGGGACCCATTTGGACTGGAACCAGATCATAATGGTGACATTAAACTGACCTCTATCAGGTGTAGGACCAATCTGACCAATATCTCGAGAGAAAGGGAAGGTAGGGGGCTGGGGCTGGGGCTGCACCCGCCTTGAGAGATCAAAGCAACGGTTTACGAAGGACAACGGAAACGGGAGGGGGCAGTAGGGGCAGGAAGAAGGGGTGAAGGGACGATGAAGAAGGGGTGAAGGGACGGTGGAAGCAAGGGGTGGTAGAGGGGAGGCAGGGCGACAGAGGCAAAGGAGGGGTGGTGAAATCAGGGGAGGGGAGGAGATAGACGCCAACCACCACATCGCAGCCAGCACGACCCCGTCTTTTCAAGGTGATGATGGGTGGGTGCCAGACCGCTGTGTTGGACCGACGGGGGACGCTTCTGGTCATATTCTGTCTGTCTGGCATGAGACACACACACACACACACACGCACACCACAGAGAGAGAGAGAGAGAGAGAGAGAGAGAGAGAGAGAGAGAGAGAGAGAGAGAGAGAGAGAGAGAGAATAAAGTCTACCAAGTAGCCAAATGCCTTCACCAGCAAGGAAGTGTCAGCATCATGAGGATGGTCCGTGTGGCTGTGTATTAGCCTCTGTTTTATAGGCAGAAGTATTTATATAAATGGGTTACTTACATTAGATTTATATACTCTATCACCCTCTGTAACTTTCCACTAGCTATGAGGTAGCAAGTTCCCTCATGTGTCCCTCACACGACCCATAACTCATATTAATCCTCCTACAGTATCATCCTACGATCATGATATCTTTTTGGGTTCCAGGTTCCCAAAGGTTTGCAGGATGAATATTCCACGTAATTCTGAATGTAGTCTTGCACCTTCGAGTTATAAAGAATATTCAATACACAAACCTCTTAAGAAACTGGACCCAGACCATCAATAATTCTTCTTTTTTTAAACTTTTGGTTTTCTTTCTTATTATTCATTTGTATCTTGGCATCTTCCTTGTTTTTTTCTGCTTCTTTTCTGACTCCTTACATGATCAGCCACTCACAGCGCACTTGATATATAATGTGATTAACTCTTCCAGGAAGCTTCCTCATCAAGACTAAGAAGCGCTACGAATTTATCTTACTTCTCTTTACATCACCCGGACGAAGCCTTGGCTGGTGCAGCGTTAATATAATGGAGTGCTGGTGTTGTTGATGCTGTCGGCTCTACCACACAAAGGCTTCAGCATCAAGACGACCCTGGGTAACTGGCTTCATCAGAACCCATCACCCTCCTCCTCCTCTCCCCCATTGTTCTCACTCTACCTCCTTATTCCTCCTCTTGAGCCTGCTCTAACCTTCTTCATTTTACTTCACCATTCCTCGCTTATAGAAAATCTCCCCCTCTCTCCCTGAATGCCTCTCACCATTCCTCCTCCTCACCCTCCTACCAACTGCCTCAACACGTAACTTATTAAACCGCTAATCTTAACCCTCACTCTCTCGGCATTGTTTATCCGGGACAATGGTACAAAAGTCAACATCGCGTAGCTTCTACACGTCACCCCAAGCAACCAACATTCATTCACTGTAAACAAATCCATAAAAATCTGTTAAAGACTCGAAAGATAAGAAAGACACAAGAATAAAGCTTTCATGTACATTCCACGAACATGTTTAGAAGAGTTGAGCCCTAAAGACATCCTGAACTATGTGGAGCTCCAGGCTTGAGCAAGATAAGCAAGAAAGTGGCCCGACATGCCTTTCCTTTACCATTATAATCTTAAAAACTACTTCTAAATTTATACTGCGTTTTCTGTCGTGTTCTGTGGGTTTTTTTTAATGTTTTCTGAGTGTTTTCTGGTGTTTTATGACGTTTTCTGGTGTTTTATGTCGTTTCTGTTATTTTATGACGTTTTCTCGTATTTTTCCTGGTATTTTCCGACGTTTTCTCGTATTTTTCCTCGTATTATCTGACGTTTTCTGGTATTTTTCCTGGTATTTTCCGACGTTTTCTGGTATTTTTCCTGGTATTTTCTGACGTTTTCTGGCGATTTTTATTTTACAATACTCAGGTTTTGTGTCACTTTGTCCCAGACGTCATCAAAACACCACCCCATTGTGTATACAGTATGCTTCAACTTGCCTCTGTTTGTAAAGAAAATACTATTTTATTATCCTTATCAGTTTGTTATTAACCATCCTATAACTTAACCACCCCATAATTTAACAACCTCATAACTTAACCACAACCAATCCAATAAACCATCCTATAACCTAATTCAATAATCAAACTTAACCACCCCCATACAATCCACCTCATAAACCACCTCATAAACTTAACCACCCCAAAACTTAACTAGCAATCATCCCACTTTAAATCCAATTAACCTCATAACTTGTCCAAAGCCCACCCTATAACCCAACTTAACCAATTCCACCTCATAAAACTTAAACCACCCTATAACCTAATCACCTCATAACTTAAACCACCCCAAACTTAACCAATCATAACCTAACCACCTCATAACCACCCCATAACTTAACCATCCCATAACAACCACCCATAAACCACCTCATAACTTAACCACCCCATAACCACCCCCAACTTAACCACCCCATAACAACCACCTTTAACTTAACCACCCATAACAACCATCCCATAACCACCTCATAACCAACCACCTCATAACCTAACCTCATAGCCCACCTAACTTCTCCCACAAATCATAACACCAATCAACCACCCCACCGCACCACCCACCCATCAACCACAACCCCAACTTAACCAATATTCCATAACTAACTTAAATTCACTAACCATCCCATACAACCACCTCATAACTTAACCACCATAGCAACCACATAACTTAACCACCCTATAACTTAACCACCCATAACTTAACCAACTGCTTAACCACCCCATAACTTAACCACCTCTACTTAACCACCCCCATAACTTAACCATCCCATAACTTAAATAAATACCAACCACCACCAACCATACTTAACCACAACCCAATTCAACCACCCCATAAAATAACCACCTCATAACTGCCCTAATCCACCCCACAACCACTACCCATGGCAACCATAAACTTAACCAATAACTTAACCACCCCATATCTTAACCATATTATCCAGCCCATAACAACCAATTCTAATCCACCCCAACTTAACCAATTCATATTCCATACAAACCTAAATAAATTTCCTTAACCACACCATAAATTAACCAATTTAATAACTTAACCACCCCATAACTTAACCACCTCATAACTTAACCACCTCATAACTTAACCACCCCATAACTTAACCATCCCATAACTTAACCACCTCATAACTTAACCACCCCATAACTTAACCACCTCATAACTTAACCACCCCATAACTTAACCACCCCATAACTTAACCGCCCCATAACTTAACCACCCCATAACCTAATCACCTCATAACTTAACCACCTCATAATCCCAGACAAAAACACAAAAAAATTCAACACAAAATTCCCACAGCCAGACAGACTGGGAGGCGGTGAGGGGGGGTCAGGGAGGGGAGGTGAAGGAGGTGAGGGAGAGGTAGGAGGGAGAAGGAGGAGGGGGGGAGTAGGAGGAAAAAGGAGGGTTGGGGGGTAGGGGAGAAGGAATCAGAAGAAGTTGGTATTAGGAAGAAGGGAGGTGTAATAACTCGGGAAGAGGAGGAGGAGGAGAAGAACAAGAAGTGGGGTTAGGGAAAGCTCGCGTTCCACCTGTTATTCCACTGTTTGATTGTTATTGATTTTTTTTTTCTCTGATTCAGCCATTTTTGTTGGTAGATATTTCTCTTTTGTTTTTCATTCTCGTATTTCGATTCATTGGGATTTTTTTTTATAACTTTTCGATCGCTTTTTTTTTTAATTTAAGCTTTTTTTTATTTTATTCCTTGTAATTTATCACTGTTGTTTATTTTTGTACTTTTGTTTCTCTCTCTTTTGTTTCAATCCATTTAATCTTTGTTTTTCCTTTTGTTACATCATTTGAAAATACTTGGAGGAGTTAAAAAAATATTTGCCGGACTGGGGAAATATTTAACGGACTGGGGAAATATTTACCGGACTGGGGAAATATTTACTGGACTGGGGAAATATTTACCGGACTGAGGAAATATTTAGCGGACTGAGGATATATTTACCGGACTGAGGAAATATTTACCGGAGGGAAAAAGTCACCTTCAATGACTCAAATTTCTTCTTGTATTTTATAATTAGTGGTGTAAGGGGGAGGTAGTGGTGTAAGGGGGAGGTAGTGGTGTAAGGGGGAGGTAGTGGTGTAAGGGGGAGGTAGTGGTGTAGGGGAGGTAGAGGTGTAAGGGGAGGTAGAGGTGTAAGGGGAGGTAGTAAGGGGAGGTAAGTGGGTGTAGGAGGTAGAGGTGTAAGGGGAGTGTAAGGTAAGTAGGTAGGGGTAGGTGTAAGGGGGAGGTAGTAGGGGGGGAGGTAGTGGGTGTAAGGGGGTAGTGGTACAGTGGTGTAGGTGGTGAGGTAGTGGTTAAGGGTGAGGTAAGGGTTCAAGTAGGGGTATAATGACAACCAATCCTCTTACTGACAGGACTAAGGGAGAGGGGGAGCGGGGGAGGCGGGGAGAGGGGACGAGATATTCATGAGGCAGGAAAAGCGTGGGGGAGGACGAGCAGGGAAGAGGAGGGGAAAGAGGAGGGGGAGGGTACGAGGAACAGGAAGGAGGAGGAGGGGAAGGAGAAGGGGGGCTAGGAGGGAGGAGGTAGGGGACAAGGAAGGGGGAGGGGGTGAGGGGGGAGGAAAGGGGACGAGAAAGGGGGGTAGGCATAATGGCGGTAGGTTAGGCAATGCATGAACTGCTTGCCCAATATTCTCTCTCTCTCTCTCTCTCTCTCTATCTCTCTCTCTCTCTCTCTGTGTGTGTGTGTGTGTGTGTGTACGGTTTTGTTAACGTACATGTGAATTCAGTGACTACATTTACATGTTTTGGCTTCCTGTGTGTACGAGTAGAATTGCTTGAATGTGCATGTAATACTGATATTATATACTGTATGTATGTATGTATGTATGTATGTATGCGTACAGTATATGCAAGTGTGTGTGTGTGTGTGTGTGTGTGTGTGTGTGTGTGTGAGCATTAAATCGAACGCCCCCATCACGCATTGAATAGGAAGGAAAATCACATTACCATTTCGTCTACTGTAATATTTCTGCCTAGACGATGTTCATGAAAGTTAATATATTTTTAACAATACTCTCCAGTCCCGCTGAGTACACTCGCTCGGCAATATTGGTGATATGACAGCAAATAGCGCCATATATTTCTACATATTCTGCATATTGTAAAACACTTTTGACATTCAGAATATTACATGATTATTATCATCATTCTTGTGATTTTTATTTTAACAGTATTATTATTATTATTATTATTTTTATTATTATTATTATTATTATTATTATTATTATTATTATTATTGTCATTGTTATTTTAATAATAATAGCAGGAGGAGGAGGAGTCAAGCTCACAGCAGCCCTCACTGAGCACATAGTAGCTCAGGATGCATCAAGTCAGGTGGACACCAACTAATTAAACAAGATTCGACGGACCATTACGACAGAACGGCAGCACACCCAAAGTGATAAACTTTAAAAGAAATAGTAGCTATAGCGCAGGAGGTGGGCGCCTCGAACTGGCTAGCAACGTTACCGATAAGGGCAAAAGGTTTCAGCCTTAATAAACAAGAATTCACAGATGCCATTACTCTAAGGTACGGTTGGCCAGTAGAAGGTTTGCCTTCCCAATGTGTGTGTGGCTCATCCTACGACATCGGCCACGCCATGGTGTGTAAGAAAGGGGGCTTCGTATGTATGAGGCATGGCAAAGTAAGGGATCTAACGGCAAAACGACGTCACGGTAGAACCGACCCTCCTTCCATTGGACGGTGAGAATCTTCAGACAGGGCTTCCAACACATCCAACGAAGCCCGGGGACAGCGAGCCTTCCTGACCTGTCTCTTGAGGCTGCACAGAAGGAACAAGAATGACAAGAACAGGGCGTAGGAACAGAGAATTCAGAATGTGGATCAAGGTAGCTTCATTCTTCTGGCGGCCGGAGCCAAAGCAATGCAGACCTACGCAGAAGGAAGGACAGTCGATATCTCAACCAAGCTGAAATATACTCTGGGCTGCTGCTTCTGTTCAGATAACACCTCGGCCAGTCTGACGTATAAGTGACGCTGAGGCATCCTGCACTTTGTCCCATCAGGGAAAAAGATCTTCGGCCCCAAAGTCAACAACAGTCGCAGATAAAAACTATGAGGCAACAGTCCCTGAATCCTGCAACCGTGATATACAGTATAAGGCTCTGGTATAGGGGAGGAGGGGAGGGGAGACTAAAGGCGTTCGGGGATATATTGCGTGCTCGATCCCACCAGAAAGCCTCCCCACGGCAACTGGTTAATATACTAAGAGGATTTCGCTGAAGACTATCAATAGAAAATAACCAGATCGCCAGGAAGTAATGAGCTTATTTAACCAGGTATTATTATTTTCTTGTTCGTTTATTGCCCGACGAGTAATCATATCTTCACTCATTGTTTCTGGACTCTTACCAAACACACGTAGGGAGAGACGCCACGAGAGTATGTGACCACCTGATGATTGGACACCCCTAGTTTATTCCACCTGAAGAGTAACCACCCTACTGCTAACCTAACCTAACCTGTCCAAACCGATAAGCAAATCCAGCAATAGATAAGGAGGTTTAAGCCAGTGTTCCCCGTTTCTTTCGGCTCTGATATGAAAGTACTCACCTGCTCGAGTTCAAAGGAGAGCTAATGCAGTAAACTAAAGGTACAGTTATTTTTCCTATATGAATGTCCTCACGATAAATAACAATAACATCATAATATATAACATACTAAAATACATATAATAATTTAAGAAAACATATTATTAGTGTATTAGTTTTGATTTGACAGCATTGTTTACATTCTGTGAGTACATTACCAACCCATTATTACAAAACGTTATCTATGTTGATTACACTTGATACAGCCCAAAAAGTTGGAGTGTCTAATATTGAGATAAGGCAGAAAAATATACCCTAAAAGATTTACTAAAACAAAGATACTGGAAATAAATGTTCTGGAATATAGAAGTAAAAACCGATACTGCAAAATGTGTACTGAAAACATGAGGGACTACTGCTCTCCCACACACACACACTCCCTCTAATTCACCACGTTGTAAACAAGACCATGAGATCAATCCAGTGAGGGGGAGAATAGTTCAATCATCATCCTTCCCGCGGCTAGGGGGGCTAGGAGGCAGGGTGGAAGGGCTAGGAGGGAGGGTGGAAGGGCTAGGAGGGAGGGTGGAAGGGCTAGGAGGGAGGGTGGAAGGGCTAGGAGGGAGGGTGGATGGGCTAGGAGGGAGGGTGGAAGGGGCTAGGAGGGAGGGTGGAAGGGCTAGGAGGAGGGTGGATGGAGCTGGGAGGGTGGAAGGGCTAGGAGGGAGGGTGGATGGGCTAGGAGGGAGGGTGGAAGGGCTAGGAGGGAGGGTGGAAGGTGAGAAGGAAGGAGAGGGGAAAGGGGATGAGAAGATAAGCGAGAAAAAGGAGGGAAGGAGAGGGGGAAGAAAGTGGAGAGGGGAGTAGAAGGGAAAGTAAGGAAAGAGAGACAAAACAGAACAGAAGAGAACTGAGAACAGAAGAGAACTGAGAACAGAAGAGAACATAATAGAACAGAGAATAGAAGAGAACATAGAATAGAAGAGAACAGAGAATAGAAGAGAACAGAGAACAGAAAAGAACAGAGAGCAGAAGAGAACAGAGAAGAGAACAGAAGAGAACAGAGAACAGAAGAGAACAGAATAGAACAGAATAGAACAGAGAATAGAAGAGAACAGAGAATAGAAGAGAACAGAGAACAGAAAAGAACAGAGAACAGAGAAAAGAATAGAACAGAAGAGAACAGAGAAAAGAAAAGAACAGAGAACAGACGAGAACATAAAACAGAAGAGAACAGAGAACAGAACAGCAGAGAACAGAAGAGAACCAAAATGCAAGGATCAGGTAAGAAGGTAAGAGTTAATTAAGCAACTTGTCAGGTATTTTTTTGCTGAGGGTCACACTATAGACGACAAGGAGAAGGTTGGTGGCCCCTACAACCAGGTCACAGGGTCACACTATAGACGACAAGGAGAAGGTTAGTGGCTCCTACAACCAGGTCACAGGGTCACACTATAGACGACAAGGAGGAGGTTAGTGGCCCACAGGGTCACACTATAGACGACAAGGAGAAGGTTGGTGGCCCCTACAACCAGGGTCACACTATAGACGACAAGGAGGAGGTTAGTGGCCCCTACAACCAGGTCACAGGGTCACACTATAGACGACAAGGTTGGTGGCCCCTGCAGGTCACAGGGTCACACTATAGACGACAAGGAGGAGGTTAGTACTAACCAGGGTCACTATAGACGACAAGGAGAGGTTGGTGGCCCCTACAGCCAGTCACAGGGTCACACTATAGACGACAAGGAGGAGGTTAGTGGCCCTACCAGGTCACAGCACCCTATTGGGGGGGCTGTCATGAGGAGGAGGGATGTCATGAGAGAGGAAGGATGTCATGGGGAGGGATGGATGTCATGAGGGAGGGAAGGGTGTCATGAGGGGAGGGATGGATGTCATGAGGGGAGGGAGGGATGTCATGAGGGGAGGGAGGGATGTCATGAGGGGAGGGAGGGATGTCATGAGGGGAGGGGGAAAATGATGTCATGTACTCGAGGATTATCAAGGAGTGAATGTGGTTCTGTCCTGCGCCACCTGATATTATGGTGGCCACTCTTGTCCTCAAGGATGAAGAGGGAGAAGAGGAGGATTGGGAGAAGGAGAAGGAGGAGGTAAAGGAGGAAGTAAAGGAGGAGGAGGAGGAGGAGGTAAAGGGGGACGAGTAGCCGCAGGAGGTAGTGGAGAAGAAGGAGTTTGAGTCCTAACCTAACCTAACCGAACCAAACCTAACCTAACCTAACCTAACCAAACCTAACCAAATACTAACCAAACCTAACCAAATACTAAGTCTGAGTGCGAATATTTGAGTAGGGATCCGAGCACATTAGTTTCACCTAGACAGAAAAATGATTAATAAAGTTATACTACACTTGAACCCATGTCTTCTATCTTGTTATGTGTGTAGGTACATCTGTTATGTTACTTATCATTGTGTTTTACTTTTGTTTTATATAAGTAATTTTTATTGTTCCCTTCACTTACTAGAATATCCTTTTGTTCTCTTCCAGATGCCATACAATCCTTGGTCAGTTATATGAACAATCAAACCTAGAAAAAGGTCGATTCTAGGTCTTCTTCCTCACCACAACAATCTTTATCGTTGAGTATTTACATTTATCTATTGCCTAATTGTATATTCATTTATTTTCTTCTTTGCTCTTCGTGATTTCATTAAGTGAATCATTATTTATTTTATGCTGATGAAAAACGGTTTAACTGAAAAGACGTTTGTATGTATGTATGTATGTATGTATGTATGTATGTATGTATGTATGTATGCCTGAGAGAAACTGAACGATGAACGAGTCAGAGAAGCGGAACCGTAACGTTGGGTGTGTGTGTGTGTGAGGAGGGTTGCTTATGTAAGGGATAGTGAGAGGGGATGAGGGATTCATTCACATCCCCAGCACCTCTCCCCGCCACATCCCCAGCACCTCTCCCCGCCACATCCCCAGCACCTCTCCCGCCACATCCCCAGCACCTCTCCCCGCCCATCCCAGCACCTCTCCCCGCCACATCCCCAGCACCTCTCCCCGCCACATCCCCAGCACCTCTCCCCGCCACATATTGATCACGTAAACACCTACTCATGTACTGTACTAGTGTTCTAACTTGCACCTGCACCATGTACTCTTTCATTGTACCTGTAACTTACCTTGTACCTGTGATATTGTTTCTAATAGTGTGTGTGTGTGTTGCTTGACCAGCCTAGTGTGAGTAGTCGTCTGAACACAGCTTGGGAGTGATACTAAATTTCATCAAAGTTAACCAGTTAGAGAGAGAGGAGGGGGGGGGGGGACTTTAGCCTTCCCTCACAACTTCTCTCCACTGATCGACTGACGCATAATTATTGTTTAAAGTATTTGTATCGACGGATAAGTGCCGCCCACTCACACACAAGAGAGCCGTGGGACCTGGGAAAGGACGTCGTGTCCTAGAGAGTTACTTAAGACCCGGAAATGGGACGTTAGACTACAGTATGAGGCAGGTGGGAGGATCGTCTGGAAGTGGTGGATCCCCTTCATGTGGATAATCCTGAAGCTGCCTATTCAGCGCCTGACGTTGATCCTCTCCACCAGGTTGACAGCGACTGATAATTCTTGTCATTTTGTGGTTTGAAACCAATGAATAGAGAGCTGCCAGCCTCCCTGCCTGACCAAGGTCTATATACAGTAAGACACGCCAATGTTACGTAATAAACTTCAGCTCTGCCACATTCAATGACGTCACACTACCTGTGGTGACCACAGGGACTACGGCCTTGGTTGACGTTGGGTTGCTTAATTTTGTTTTAAATACTGGCTTTTCTGTGGCCAGGTATAACAAAATTAATGCCTTATGTTCTCATAGTCTTCCAAAAAATAAGTGATATAGCAAAAAATAAATAAATAAATAAAAATATTACAAGGAAACACCCGAGGGTTCCAGGCATTTCGCTGATGACCTGGACGAAGCAACTAAAATTTTGAGCGTGTTAACAATGCAAATATTTTCCTTTAGCCAGACATGGTAAGATAAATATCTGTGGTGTACTCCGAACAACTGGATATTGCCTTACAATGAATACTTAAGAAAATAGAGCAAGTTTCTCTAGGTGTTACAACCGTCGCTGGTGAGTTAAGTGATGTAACTCTGAGGGTTTTTTTATATTAGAGGCAATATTATTGTTGTTTTTGTCAGACGTGGCAAGAACAATGTCTCACGGTCTTCTGGATGACCTGATACTGACTGACTTTGCAGAATTAAGAAATCTTGCCCCGTGTCTTGAAACAAGAGCATTGTTGACACCTGAAACCCACGTACGGATGTACTTAACTTTAATATTTTCAAGACTAATAAAGATGTTCAGAGTTCTTGTTGGCCACATATGGCAAGATGATTGTATCACCTTCTTGTAGGTATCTGGATTTCGTCAAACATTTCAGTATTAAGAAGATACAAAAGAAATATGAACTCTCTACAAACAAGTTCTCTGCTAGGCTAATGTGTTTATCAGAGCACTTGTAGACATCTTATCCATTTGTCACAAGTTTTCTTATCTCTGGGATATCTGTAATACTTGATGTGCTCTCTGCTTGTGACTTGAACATTGCTGGTGCACCCGTATATTGCACAAATAACCATAATTGTTGATACACTGGTCCCGGGAGCAGACGCGGGCACACACAAAGGTTACCAGATGATGCGTGTTGGCAAGTGACGTCACCGAACTGTGCATTGTGGATAAAACAAGTGCCCGGTGGTCCATCCTTACTGTCTCTAATCTTTGTGTCTGACTGTCTGCGTTTTTGCTTGAATTCATTTAAAACTTTAAGCAAATGTAAATGGTGGATCAGCTGAGAGAACAACAGCTCTCGGCCGTTGTGTTGGCAGCGGATGCCTCCAGCACTATTGGGAAGCTCCTCTCTCCTTCCCTCTCTCCCTGTTTATGGACAAGAAGGTCACAGGGAGGCCGTAATGTAGGAGCTTAAAGAGGAACAGCTTATAACTCTCGTCTGATGCCATGATCCAAGGCTCGGTTTTAAGGTTCTCTCACCCTAAAAAAAAAAAAAAAGATAGTGCTACTCTTTAGTCCCCGCGGCCCTGTTAGAGGAAGAGGAAGGGAGTTGTACCAGATATACCTCAAAGGCCAAAGTAAAGTAATGAACTTCACTTTCCAGCTTGTCCAATGTCCAGGTGTGTGTGTGGTACACACACACACACAGAGGGTGATCCATCTCCAACTCCTCATTCTGGTCACTGCCTGGGATCTCATCCAAGATTTTCCTCTGTCTCCCACACGTCAGTGACCCGCCGCTGTCTTTGTTCTCGTGACTTCATCAGCGCCCGGTGTAGGTAATCTCTCACACTCCCTAGAGAGCGTGACGTGACGTACAGGTGACTGAAGGAAAAAGGTTAAAGAAAACAATATAAAAGCTAAAGACACGAGACCGTTTGAGAATTAGTTGAATGAAAAAGTTTAAAATAAATAAAGAAAGAAAACGCCAGAAAATTCAAGGAAAGTATAATGGGAAGTTTGAACAGTATCAGACCCGTGTATCTCAAGCCGCTTTGTCGCTTGACACGTTCATGGCCGGAGCCTCGGCCTCATTATATTACTGCATCGTAGCCAAATAAAAGAGATCAAAGTTATCATGGACCATCAACTAGGCAAATGGCAGAGGAAAGTGTAATGAAGGACGACAAGATATCAGTCAACAAACAAACTGAATGAACTGACACATTATTGAAATCTGCAGGGAGTCAGTTGCCAGCTGCTGCTTTACACTTCACTATTTCTTCATATTTCGGATAACAAGACCAGAGACTTCCTTCTTTTTCTTCATAAATTTTTAGTATTTTGATGATAATGATGATGAATATCATTATTATTATTATTATTATTATTGTTATTATTATTATTATTATCTCCCACAACTGCAAGGGGTCGGTGATACTGACATAGGTGTTGGAGTCCTTTAGAGGTAAAAAAATAAATAAAAAAATATCACGTAATATTTTGTAAATTAAGTATTAACCCAGTAGGTGGTAGCCGTTTCTCTCAGCTGCTGCATTAAATCGTCTGGCGTGAACTAGAATAAATCAAGTGATCACGGGCACGTTCGTGCCCTTGTGAGAGTTTGAACGCTCGTGACAGCGTACAGCGAATGAGGGTGTGCCAAGTCCGTAGACTTGCATCGTTTTCCATCGTAAATAAAATTGTTAACTAATGCCTTCCTAAAGAAACCATCGACATGGGACCAGGTTTGTTCCACTCTACGAATTTTTTGCGATATTTCCACCAAGTTTGATGAAAAACAATTGTGCCGTTTTGGCTGCCCAGAACAGACACACACACACACGCCTAGTCCTATAGTATATTAGATACCCAAGTGTAACAATGAGTGTTTAACCAGATTATATTTTTTTTGGCATCATCCCTGTTGCAGCCATCAGCCACTCAATGTGTCAAGCCATCAGGCGAAATATGTGAGACAAACTTTAACTTCATCAAACAAAAATATAAAGAGAATTAGAGTATTAATGGGGTAAGGACATGGTGGCAGTGTAATCACGTACTGTATATATACACCAGCTAAACTGTTTCTTAGAAGGAAACAGCATCATAAACAAACAGCTACCATCATATCCACAAACATGTGCCGGGATTACCAACACATACACAAACTAGTGTCAAGTATGCCAACACACCCACAACTATCGCTCTGTGTTCCAGTTTGTTTCAATACTTTTTCATACCGTCACCACACCAATACTGTTACGCAAAATCTAAATAAACCAAGTCCATCCACGCGCATGGGAGGAGCTAATTATGTGACGTCGTTGGCCGGGGTGGATATTCTTGCCATATTTCCTGGTTTTCTCATCCCCTAACACACTATCTTTCAGTTAGTCACTTGAACTTCCCATGTAATCATTATTTTTATGATATTCCTATTATTATTATTAAAAATTTATTATAATTATTATTAACAATTCTCTTCTTCCTCTCTTTATTATTATTTATACTCTTATGATTTTGCCTCGCTGCCATTATCAGTGTAAAAGCAATTAAGTAATCATAGGTATATGGGTTAGCTATTTCCTGGGGGGGAGGGGGAGGGAGGGGATACGAGATTAAATAAAATACTTAAATAAAATAATAAAAAATTTAATGATCATAATTATCCTCATTCTCTCTCTCCCAAGCTATTACGGTAAATCAGTGATACAAGTATATATGTGTAGAGGTTTACAATTTATCAATATGGCCACGAGATATATTACAGATGCCTAGGCTATACAACAGTTTCAAACAACAAATACTTATTTGTCTCTCCACATCTAGTTTCTTGGTCGAAAGTTAGGCTTTAGGAAATTTAATTTTAAACCTGCCAACGGCTCTCAAGTATTGACCTTCCTCCTGTTGCACCCTATATGTTTGCTGCATGTACAATAAAATCAACTTTTTCTGTTTTTCATCCTTTGGAAATCGATGAAATCTCAAACTTTTATCGTGTAGTCTGTAATTTGTTATGTATCCAGATACGGAACATTTATCAGGCATTATCATAGACCTTCGCACTATGACTCCCACCCAGGAGTCCGGACCACTCCCCAGACTGCCGGCCAGATGACGTCATGCGAGGTGATAGACGAATTTTCGAATCGAAGTGAATTGATTTGGTATAATTCGACTTTGTTGTCATGGTGGAGTGCTCGCCATCCCGCAGGAGGCAGCCCATCACGGGGGCGGCAGAGGGTGATGATGACTAGGATTCTGGTAATTGTTTTGACGTCCTGAGTGTTTATGGTTATTGATGAGGAGGAGGAGGAGGCTCCTGTTACAACTGTCTACTACCATGACTGTTCCCTGCCATAACTGACTGTCTCCAGCCATGACTGACTGTCTCCAGCCATGACTGACTGTCTCCAGCCATGACTGACTGTCTCCAGCCATGACTGACTGTCTCCAGCCACGACTGACTGTCTCCAGCCATGACTGACTGTCTCCAGCCATGACTGACTGTCTGACTGTCTCCAGCCACTGTCTCCAGCCATGACTGACTGTCTCCAGCCACGACTGACTGTCTCCAGCCAGACTGTCTCCAGCGACGACTGAGCCATGACTGACTGTCTCCAGCCATGACTGACTGTCTGACAGCTGTCTCCAGCCATGAGACTGTCCCAGCCATGACTGACTGTCTCCAGCCACGACGACTGTCTCCAGCCACGACTGACTGTCTCCAGCCACGACGACAGCCACGACTGACTGTCTCCAGCCACGACTGTCTCCCGAGCCACGACTGACTCGTCTCCAGCCACGACTGACTGTCTCCAGCCACGACTGACTGTCTCCAGCCACGACTGACTGCTGTCTCCAGCCACGACTGACTGTCTCCAGCCACGACTGACTGTCTCCGACTGACTGTCTCCAGCCCGACTGACTGTCTCCAGCCACGACTGACTGTCTCCAGCCACGACTGACTGTCTCCAGCCACGACTGACTGTCAGCCACGACTGGTCTCCAGCCATGACTGACTGTCTCCAGCCATGACTGAGCGACTGACTGTCTCCAGCCATGACTGTCTGACTGACTGTCTCTCCACTCCAGCCATGACTGACTGTCTCCAGCCACGACTGACTGTCTCCAGTCTCAGCCACGACTGACTGTCTCCAGCCACGACTGACTGTCTCCAGCAGACTGACTGGCCACGACTGACTGTCTCCAGCCATGACTGACTGTCTCCAGCCACGACTGACTGTCTCCAGCCACGACTGACTGTCCAGCCATGACTGACTGTCTGTCTGTCTCCAGCATGACTGACTGTCTCCACGACTAACTGTCTCCAGCCACGACTGACTGTTTCCAGCCATAACTGACTGTCTCCAGCCATGACTGACTGTCTCCAGCCATGACTGACTGTCTCCAGCCACGACTGACTGTCTCCAGCCATGACTGACTGTCTCCAGCCACGACTAACTGTCTCCAGCCACGACTGACTGTTTCAGCCTAACTGACTGTCTCCAGCCCGATGACTGTCTCCAGCCATGACTGACTGTCTCCAGCCCGACTAACTGTCTCCAGCCACGACTGACTGTTTCCAGCCATAACTGACTGTCTCCAGCCATGACTGACTGTCTCCAGCCATGACTGACTCGCCTCCAGCCGACTGACTGTCTCCAGCCATGACTGACTGTCTCCAGCCGACTAACTGTCTCCAGCCACGACTGACTGTTTCAGCCATAACTGACTGTCTCCAGTCATGATACAGATAATACATACTCAAAGCAGACTTAACCTACCCAAACTTAACCTAACACAAGGTCTGTAATAAGACAACTTGTAGTTAGGTTAGGTGAAAGGAGAGGATACACACACACAAACACATAAGAGCAAAAGGAGAGGATACATACACACAAACACACATAAAGGAGAGGATACATACACACAAACACACATGAGGAGAGGATACATACACACAAACACACATAAAGGAGAGGATACATACACACAAACACACATAAAGGAGAGGATACATACACACAAACACACATAAGGAGAGGATACATACACACAAACACACATAAGGAGGATACATACACACAAACACACATAAAGGAGAGGATACATACCAAAACACAATAAGGGGATACATACACACAAACACACATAAGGAGAGATACATACACACAAACACACATAAAGGAGAGGATACACACACACAAACACACATAAGGAGGATACATACACACAAACACACATAAAGGAGGATACATACACAAAACACACATAAAGGAGGGATACATACACACAAACACACATAAAGGAGAGGATACATACACACAAACACACATAAAGGAGAGGATACATACACACAACACACATAAGGAGAGGATACATACACACAAACACACATAAAGGGAGGATACACACAAAACACACATAAGGAGGGATACACACACAAACACACAAAGAGGATACATACACACAAACACACATAAAGGAGAGGATACATACACACAAACACACATAAAGGAGAGGATACATACACAAACACACATACAAATAAATATCAGGTTAGAAATAGATATATAGATTGTTATATACCCAGACAGACGAGACAGACACACAGACAGACAGACAGACACACAGACAGACAGACAGACAGACAGACAGACAGACAGACAGACAGGTGAAAACGAAAAGGAAAAAACACGAGTACCTCCATACACATCCTCCTTGTTCCAGACCAAGGGACAGGCCACTAGTGTAAATTAAGCGGCGGGGGGTGGGGGGGTGAAGTGAGTGAATGAGGGAGGGTGGGAGGTTAGGTAAAGGTAGGATGAGAGGTACCCATCCCAACCACCTATCCTGACATCAAGGGTTAGGTAGGTACTTCTACATTAACGGAGAGAGAGAGAGGCCATCACCACCACGACGCATCACCACCGGCATCACCAACACCTGCATCACCACCAAACCTGATTCCGCCAACACACCATCACCACCTGTATCACAACACCTCACCACCACCGCTTGTATCACAACACACACCACCTTTATACACACAACCACCACCACCACCACCACCACCTGTCACCAGCACACCACCACCACCACCACCACCACCACCTGTATCACCAATACACAACCACCTGTCACCAACACACACCACCACCTATATCACAACACACCACCACCACCACCTCAGCGGCTCCTGCTACCACCTGAGATCCCTAGCCCGAGGTGCTGTTCGACACCACAACCGCATCCAGCCCATCGTGCACAGACGGTCGCTATAAGAACAGGTCCATTGTAAAATTATCAATCTTGTAATAAAGTATTATTCACCCCAGTAAATACTACTCCTTGCACTCTCACTATGCTAAATGCCCTGTGGTTTGAGCTTTTCCCCATCTAGTTATTATATGTCTTATTTGTGTCCTTATGTTTTGTATATTATAATGAAACCCACATTCCCCAAATATGAACTGTATATTTTCAGCCTTCACTGCCAAGCTCTTTCAATAAACCGTTAATTATTATTATTTTTATTATTATTATTATTATTATTATTATTATTATTATTATTGTTGTATCACCAACACACCACCACCCTGTATCACCAACACACCACCTGTATCACCAACACACACCACCACCTGTATCGCAACACACACACCTGTATCAACACACACCACCACCTGTATCACCAGCACACACCTACCTGTATCACCAACACACACCACCACCTGTATCACCAACACACCACCACCCCTGTATCAATCACACAACCACCAGTATCCTGCACCACACACCCTGTATCACCAGCACACACACCACCTGTATCACCGCACCACCACCTGTATCACCAGCACACCACCACCTGTATCACCAACACACACCAGCATCTGCTACACACCACCCACACCAGCCATCACCAACACACACCACCACCTGTATCACCAACACACACCACCTGTATCACCAACACACACCACCTGTATCACACACACCACCATATCACCAACA